TAATAAGGGAAGAAATCGTTACCAAATTAAATGGAATGTATAAATTGCATCAACCAAGAAGTGTAGAGAGAATAATAGTATGAAGAACGAGCTTAAGAAAAATCTGGAATTCAATCTAATGGGAAAACGTAATCGTCGGTGTGAAGAAGTGTCGTACAAATTAAGCAACTGAAAGTATTTATACTAAGCTCCTAATACTTATTAAAGAAAAAGCTAAAACAAATTAAAATTCCTAATGTAAACACGCGCCCGATCGGGCAAGGCACCGCCCGACCGAGCGCGCCTTTTTTTCTCTAATGCTTGGCTCACGCCCGGTCGGGCGAAGCTCGCCCTTTACTATCCCCCTCGCCCGGTCGGGCGCGCCTTTAGGCGAAGCCCTGCCCGATCGGGCGAGCTCCCGGGCAAGGATTACTCAAGTCTTTTGGGCTAGTTTTCTTGGCCCAATAAGATTTCCTCCTTGGGTCTTGAATCACGGTCCAATGCCCAAGCTCTTCTTTTATTCACCGAGCCCTTAATCACTGAGTTGATTTCTCTAACGCGTCCCTGGGCTTCGGAATATGATCATAGTAATGCGTTTCCGCTCCGATGCTCGCGGTGGCTCAAATAAGTATGGGGAAATGCTCCAAGTCTGCAATTTCCTGTAAAACAATACCACAACTACGAAAACACTAGAAAACGCATATTAGTAATAAAAGTGGTTTTAAAGAGCCAAAAATACTCCTAACTATGACCAAGGGACGGGGATAAAATACTATATAATATGAACATATCACACAGCCGAGAAGGAGTTGTTGACTCTCTTCGGGAAAACAAAGAATGTAGAGGGGACTGGCCGAACGACGTTTATGCCAAAGACATGGCTACCCTGCTACCATTATATCTTCAAAGAGAAGATATTAGCTGCTGTCGGCCTTAGCCGAAAATTCCAGAATGGTGAGAAGCTCGGCTGGGGCCGAAGGCCTTTACTTGTCCTTTTTCTTTCTTTTCACTTGCTTTTTTCTTCATGCAGAATAACCCTTTTTCCTTTGGTTTTTCAGAGTTGCACGAAAGGAATTGCGGCTTGGAGTACAACAGGCTTGGAATTAATGTTGCTCGGCGAGTGACGAGGAATCCTCCTACTATAATTCCTCCATCTGCTAGGGCTCCTGCGCCCTTCGACGCTTGAGATTGTCAAGTCAGTCGAGTATTCCAAACAGAAGCCTTGGTATCTGAAAAGGGACCCGTTTTTCCTTTTGGGCCTTGAGGAACAAGCATTCGTTGTTGCTGTCGCTGTTGACGCTGGAGTCTTTGCTGTTGGCTCTGAGCAGAACGTTAAGCAAACAACACCTATTGCTGAGCCCAACGTACTTAGTGCTGAAGACGAACTGTTGCTGAAGACTTCGGTGAGTTCTTAATGCTTTTTCAGCTTTCATTTTTATTAGCTTTGTTCCTTTTACTTAAAACAATTTCAGAAATAATTCAAATGAAAATCTAAGTACTAAACTTCGGTTGTCTCGCTCCTTCTACCTAGTCTTTTCAACTTGTGAAAATCTAATTACTAAGCTTCGGCTTGAAGTTGTTTTTTTTTTTAATTTTTTTTATGATGATACTGATATCACCTTTTGCCCCCTTGTCTCTTCTATTGTAGTCTGACGAAGAAGAAGAAGACAAGAAGGAATCTGAAAAAGCACAATCATCTTCTTCGGACGAATCTTCAGACGAAGACATGGCAGGCCAAAGGAGGAGAAGAAGAGTTGTTGTAAACCTGGGATAATTCCCGGTTTCTGAGCCTGCCTCCAAAAGACTTCAGCTGGATGAGGACCAGGCTGAGGCAGCCAAAGAGAAGACTCTTCCTCTTGAGAATCAGGAGGAAGAAGTTTAGCAGAGGACTCCTCCCGTTCTATCTCAGTCTCCTCGGCATGTAGCTGAGCCTTTTTCCAGCGAGGTTCAGCGAGAGGCATATGCCCTAAATGTGCAGCCTGTCGAAGATGAAGAATTGCAAATTTTGGAGGAAAGGCCTGAGAATTTCAAGAAGGCTGATGAAAGAGTTGATGATTCCAAAACTTTTGATATTCCATCATTTGCTGAGAATTCTTTCAGAACCTTTCAATCTGCGGATATAGGGTTTGAGTCTACCCCATTGGTGCCAATTCCAGAAGCTGTGAGGAACAGCATGTTGTCTCATTGAAACTCAGCTGTGAGTTTTTAGGTGACTTTTCTGGCCTTTCAGAACTGGAAAGAGCTATGGTCTGGTCTCATCGGGCAACTGCTGGAGCGTCCGAACCATTTGTGAGGGTGCCAGCCCCCGTAGCCAAAACTTACAAGCTGCTAATGCAGGTAGCCTTTACGTAAACCTTTTCTGTTAAGTTTGAATTCTTCTAAGTCTTTTTCCTCGGCTGACTTGTTTTTCTGAACTTTGCAGGCTGTTCACAACCATGTCATCACGGCTGGTTTGAACGAAGAGCTGAAAAATAAAGTTGAGGAGGCTGACTGCCGAGCTCGGCTGGCAGAACTTAAAAGCAAAAAGGAAGAAGAAGAGTCTTCTGCTAGCCAGTCTCGGATGGAAGAGATAGAGGCCGCACTTCAAGACTTCTATCAAGGGATTGAGCAAACCATTTTTTCCCTGGATTGAAGAGGGCCATGCCTTGATCCAGGAATATGGTGCTGTTGACATTCCGAGCTTCAAAGCTCGGATAGAGGAAAAAATGAAACAAGAGGCAGAGACCTGGCAAATGCTGGTCGAGTAGCTTAGAATGGAGCAGGTTGATCATTAGGCTGAGATTCAGCGGCTTATCAACCAGTTGGATGCCAAGGATTCTGATTTCTCTGCCATGAGGACTGAATTGCAAGGAGTGCAGACCCAGCTAGAGGTACGGATTGATGAAGCTTCTAAAGCTAAGGCAGATCTCGAGATTGCGCAGAACCTGCTGAAGGTCCAGATCTATACCCAAGAGCAATATGAGGAAGGTTTTGATAATGGATTCAACGTTGCTCGGCGTCTGGCCTTCTATGCTAATCCAGACATCAATTGGGATGTGGTCGAAGAATAGCAGCAGTTCCTAACCATCCCAACTTGCTTACTGCCCATGAAGCTAAGAATGCTTTTGCCTTACTTGCCTAGTAGAGGTTGATGCCAAAGAAGAAGGAGAGGCTGCAAAGAAAGAGCAAGAAACTGCCCATCCTGCCTCGTCCTCTGCTGCTGAATTTCAAAGGCTCCCAGCTCTAATCCGGCCAACGCCGAAGCATAGGGACTCGGGTAGTTGTCTGCAGAATCTTGCGGGTCAACGTGCTCTTGATTCACTTAAATGCCACAACTGCTTTTTGCCTTATCTTTTTCTTCAGCTAGCCTTACATTATACAAACTTATTTTCGCTTATTTTAAGTTTATGTACTGGTTTCGGCAACTGTGTTTTTCGCTTGTGGGCGGCTGCTGATTTAGGATATCTCTGTACTTGACATTTGAAATCCTCATTTATTAATATATTTGAAGTTCTTCTCAGCTTTTCTCTTTCATTGCCAATTTTTCTGATTTCTGTACTTCGTTGCTTTTCTGAATTTCTTCAAAAAATTTCTAAGTGTAAAACTTCGACTTAGAGATATTCTTGGCTGAGAACTTCTTTATTGTTGAGATTGCACTGTTTTTGCTTGCATTCATTTTACCTTGCTCTTTTTACTCAGATTTTTCAACTTGTGAAAATTTTTCCAATTACTAAGCTTCGGCTAGGAACTTGCCAAATGAGTGCCTCCTCTTGCCCCCCTTAGAAATCTGAAGATGAAGTCTTCAGGATCTTGAGGCGATTGCTTTGAGGCGATTTTGCCTTGGTGAAATTTTTGCAATAATCCAGATTTTGAAGTTTCTGCTCATTTTTCTTTTCTCTTCTATTTTGTTTTCGAAAGATCTGATTTCTTGCTCAAGAGTCGTAGACGCTGAGAGAAATACTCTTGTGATCCTTTTAATTCATCCGAGGGAACGACTATCCGAAACACGATGCCGGGGCGAATCAAGCAATATTTCAGAAATGCAATCATCACCCGGAACTGATTCATTCGAAGTACTGGGCCTCATTAGGCAATATTTCGGGGCTTTATCAGTTTCTATTTTTTAAACAATGTTTCTGATGCCCCTATGGCCTCTTTGCCCGGAGGAACTGATTCGTCTGAAGTACAAAGCCTCATTAGGCAATACTTCGGGATTTTATCATTTATCCTCGTCTCGGTAGGCTTTGCGGCTTGTCGAAGTATAATGCCTCACAAGGCAATACTTTAAACAGCACCGAACAAAAACCTTGAATTTGCAAAAACCATGGAAGACAGAAAAAATAGGAACTTTACCGAATTTGAATGAATGGTGGCTCAAAGGCCTTTCATTAATGATGGAGATGTAGTTACATAGATTGTTCTTCCCCGAAGGGCTTTACACATGGTATTTCTTAAATACATCAGCGTTCCAGTGATTTTTCAGCTCAGTACAATCTAACTGTTGAAGTCGATACGTGCCTGGCTGAAGCTCATCATATATTTCATAGGGTCCCTCCTAAGTGGCCGAGAGTTCCTCATGAATGCGGCCTTTGTGCATAGCAGCAGGATTTCGAAGAATAAGATCCCCAATTTTGAGAAGGCTTACATGAACTATTCGGTTGTAAAAATTTGCTAATTCTCTGCTTGTATGCAACCATTTTATCTCGAGCTGAATCTATGATCTCGTTCAAGAAGTCAAAGAAATCTTTCAAGAGTTGTTCATTTTCTTCGGCTGAGAAGAGATTCACTCATAGACTTTCTGAGCCTATTTCCACTGGAAGGACAGCTTCGGATCCATACACCAGCTCGAAAGGTGAAGTTCCCGTTGCTTCTTTTTCGGTTGTCCGAAGTGACCAGAGGGTTCCTAGAAGTTTTTCTATCCACTTGGATTTTTGATCTTCAACTCTTTTCTTGAGAGCGTTAAGGATCTGTTTATTTGCAGCTTTGGCTTGACCGTTACTTTGCGGATGAGACACCGCGGAATATGTTAGTTTAATGCCGAACTAATCTGTGTACCGCTTCAGCGGCAGATTATCAAATTGATTTCTATGGTCAAAGACAAAAACTTTCGCAATCCCGAAGCGAGTGATGATGTTTCGCCAAATGAATTTCCTGACTGTTTGCTCTATAATATTCGAAGCTGCTTCGGCCTCGATCCATTTGCTGAAATAGTCTTTTTCGACTATTGGCCATCTTTTTTGATATGGAGCATCTGGAAATGGTCCCAAAATATTCAATCCCCATTGAGCGAATGGGAGGGGATTTAGGATTGGCTGAAGATCTCGCGATGGCCGATGGATGACTGGTGCAAACTTTTGACATTTCTCGCATTTTCTGACCAACTCCTTTGCATCTATGATCATGTTTGGCCAAAAATATCTAGCCCTTAGCACTTTATGGGCTAAGGCTCTTCCCCCTATGTGGTTTCCGCAGATACCGAGATGAATTTCCTGAAGGATATACTCAGCATCTGTTGGACCCACGCATTTCAATAGTGGGGCTGAAAAGGACTTTTTCAGAAGCTCTCCTCTGAAGACAATGAATCTTAAGCTGATTCTTTTTATCTTAGAGGCCAGGTTTCTGTCCTCGGGAAGTTCTCCCTGAAGTTTGTAAGCCAGGATGGGGTCCATCCAGCTCGGCTCGTGTGCGACACAATAAACCTCAGGCTCGTGGTCCACACTTCTTTCATGGCGCACTTCCACATATACAGATCGGCTCAGCTCGGTTAGAGTTGAACTTACAAGTTTGGAGAGTGCGTCGGCTTGTGTGTTCTGACTCCTTGGGATCAGCTCGATTTCAAAAGTTTTCTGCTTCTCAATGACAATTTTGATCTTTGCGAGGTAAGCAATCATTGAGGTTTTTTTGGCCTCATATTCACCTCGAATCTTATTTGCAACGAGCTGAGAGTCCGTCTTTAAACGGATATGCTCGGCTTCCAATTCTATACACATCTCTAAAGCAGCAATTGCTTCTTCATACTCAGCTTCGTTGTTTGAAGCCTTGAACGAGAATTTTAGTGCATATTCAAAAGATTTGCCTTCGGGAGAGGTTATGACGACCCCTGCCCCCCGAACCATTCACGGTGGAGGATACATCCGTGAAAACGGTCCAAATTTTGTTTCCCTCGTCAAGTGCCTCTTGATAAGAACACTCGGCTAGGAAGTCTGCTAAGGCTTGCAACTTGATAGCTTCCCTAAGCTGGTAGGTGATACTGAACTCAGTGAGCTCGAAAGCCCACTTTGCTAGTCTACCAGATTTTTCTACCTTGCCGAGAACTTTTTCCAGCAGCTGATCATTTAAGACCATTATTTGATGGGAATCAAAATAGGGCCTCAACTTCCGAGTGGCTACCACGACTGTGTATGCGACTTTTTCGAGTAGGGGGTAGCGTGTCTCGGCATTTGTCAGAGTGTGGCTGACAAAATAGATCGGTTGCTGAATTTTTTTTGCTTCCCTTAGCAACACCGCGCTTATGGTGGCTGGACTGACTGCCACGTATAAGTACAAGGTTTCTCCTTCAACTGGTCTTGCCAGTGTTGGGAGGTGAGCCAAGTGCTCACGAAGCTGCTTAAAGGCCTTTTTTTGCTCGTCTTCCCAGATGAGCTCTTTTGATTTTGGGAGTTTAAGCGCTTTGAAGAAAGACAATCCTTTGTCCGAGGCTCTAGAGATGAACTTGGAAAAGGTAGTCATTCTGCCAGTGAGACGCTTAATGTTCCTTTATGTTTTTGGCTCGAAAAGATCCAGAGCTGCTTGAACTTTGGTGGGATTGGCATCAATCCCCCTTTTGCTGACCATGAAGCCGAGGAACTTGCCTAACTTCACGCCAAAGACAAACTTCTTCGGATTCAGCTTCATTTTATTTTTTCTAAGGGTGGTGAAGGTTTCGGCCAGGTCCGCGACATGGTCTGTATCTTTTTTGCTTTTGACGATTGAATCATCATCAAAGGCTTCCATGTTACGACTCTTTTGCTCGGCAAAGACCTGATTGACCAGCCTTTGATAAGTTGCCCCCGGATTTTTCAATCCGAAGGGCATCATTATATAATTGTACACTCCGACGCTTGTAACGAAAGTTGTTTTTGCGCGGTCGTCGGGATGCATGAAGATCTGATGGAACCCCGAGAATGCGTCCATAAAACTGAGCAGAGCATGCCCGCTCGTCGGGTCGACTAACAGATCGATCCTCGGCAAGGGGTAAAAGTCTTTCGAACAGGCCCTATTCATGTCTGTGAAGTTAATGCACATTCTCCAAGTGCCATTTTCCTTCTGAACCATCACCACATTAGCCAACCATTCTGAAACTAACAAGGCTCAATAAAGCCCGCATCTAGAAGTTTTTTTTACTTCAGCTGCGATGTCCTGGTTTTTTGCCTCTTTTGCCTAATTGGCCGACATGTTGGGTCGACATTAAGCTTATGAGAGATGAGGTTCGGATCAATCCTGGGCATTTTTGTTGCCGAGAACGTGAACACATCTCTGTTGTCCCGAAGGAGTTGGATTAATCTAGCACGAACATTTAGATCGAGACCCAGTCCAATGCTGACATATCTTTCAGAATTCCCTTCGGTCAACTCTATTGACTCAGTCGGATTGCCCAGCTCCATGGCTTGGGCGCTGGAATCTTCTCGCTCAAGCCTGTTGTCAATATCAGCAAGCTTCCCAGACTTTGGTTGATGCTCTGAGTCCTTCGGCTCAGATGAGGAATCAGCCTTTTCCTCCCCCACAGATTTTTCTTTTGCTGGGGTTCCTTGGGCCGAAGTACTTAAGCCTTTAAGCTTTTTTTTGCAACGGTCCCGCTCTTTTTCCTCCTCATCATCCCGGTTGTCGCGGCGGCCTTTGGATGGTTTGAGGTGGTTGCATCTTCGTGCCTCCTTCTGGCTGCCCTTTATTTTTTGGGAGTGTCCCTCGTCTGAAACATATATCATTATTTAGTGGTACGTTAATACGACTCCTTAAATGTCGTGAATGAGGGGTCTCCCCATGATCACGTTATACACGGATGGGACATCCACGACCAGAAATTCGGCCATGGTGCTCCGTGCTGCTCGGCCATTGCCGATGGTGACAAGAAGAAGGATCTTCCCGTCGGGATATGATGGAGAGCCGTTAAATCCGGATATCGGGTAGGGTATTGGAGTTAGGTGCTTTGCCTTCAACCTCAATTGGTCGAATGCTCCCCGAAAGAGGATATTCGCCCCGCTACCGCCGTCTACGAGGGATTGCTAGACGTTGCGGTTTGCAATGCCCATTACAATCACTAACGGGTCATCATGAGGGTACACCACCCCCTCGCAGTCTTCGGCTGTGAACAGAATATTCGGCACCAAAAACTGAGGTGCTCGGAACTCAGCATGATTTACTTGATGGGTTAGACCTCTCAAGTGGCGGTTTAATACATTCCGAGAGGTTCCTCCAAAAACGGCAAGGATGTCAAGGTTGTCCTTGTCCTATTGCTTGTCTTTTTTTTTCGGAGAAAGTCCAGATCTTGCCGAGAGTCTTTCTCGGTTTTTTTTCTCCTCGAGGCGATTCGCAAGGTATTTTTTCAGATAGCCCTTACGAACCAAATCTTCGATCTGGTCCTTCAGCTGGAGACAATTCTTGGTGCGATGTCCAGAAGACCCATGGAACTCACACCATCGGTCTATGCCCTTGTGCAGATGCCACCGTGGTAGTGGCCTAGGCTTCTTGAATCTCCCCTCATCTTTGGTCGAGGTATAAATTTTAGCACGAGGAAGAGTGAGAGGAGTGTAAGAATCTATCTCCCCGTGTAAGGGGCGATCTTTTCTTTCTTTGGCTCGACAGCCGAGGCCAGTTCTGAGGCCTTTTCCTTCCCTTTCCTCGATGCCTGACCTTCGGAAAATTGTCCTTTAGCTTTCCCAGCCCCGGATTGGGACTGAGATTTTTTTTTGTTCCATTCTTCGGCTCGGATGAATTTATCCGATGCATCCAAAGCTTCCTCCAAGGTCCGCGGGGGATGCATGACCATGAAGTCTAGGAACTTTCCAGCTTGTAAGTCGTTCCGTAGTGCGAATTTGGTAAGGCCCTGGTCCAGACTCGTAATTCTTGATGACTCGTTGCTGAAGCGAGTCAGATAGTCTCAGAGACTTTCATCCTCCGCTTGCTGCAGAGTCATCAGTTTTGCAGTTGTTTTCTCTCGGCGAGTTGCCGTAGAAAACTTGCTCTTGAATTTGTTAGAAAGGTGTTTCCAACCGGTTATAAAGCCTTCTTTCACTCCCTTAGTGATCCACGATTGTGCAACATTTTTTAGAGTAGTTGGAAAATACTTACACCAGGTAGCCTCGGACCTGGGGTTAAGATACATGTGCCCCTTGTAAGAGGCAATGTGATCCTTCGGGTCTGAAATACCGTCGTAAGTTATGTGCGCCGGTATTTTCACCGTCAGCACATGCTCTTCCAATATCCAACTTTGAAAGGGCGAACTTATAGGGACCATTACGGCCAAACTTATAGGGACCATTGGCCGAAGGGACCTCGTTTCTCCCTCTTAGAGAGGTGGAAGTGGTTTTCGTCCCTGGCCGAGACAATTCGGGGTAGGGCCTAGGTGAGACGGCTACACACGTCTACCTCCCTTGAGCCCAAGCGCTCATGAACGCTCTAGCGAGCAGGCTCTTGCCACACAGAGGTGGTATTGCTGCTCTGTAGCTCCTAGAGTCCCAGGTTTCGGGATTGTCAAAGAACTGAGCATTCTTTTTTCTCTCCCGCTCGGTCTTCCAAGCATCCTCTTGCCACTTGTCCCCCAGCTCCTTGAAGGATGGAACTTGTCCATCCCCCTCTTGGCCGATTCTCCTTCTCGGGTGTCTCGTTTGAAGAGGTGAGGAATCATGGGGTGTTAATGGGAGTTAGCCTCCTTGGGCTTTGAGGAACTTCATGCAGACCGCTACGACCCTTGCCACTTCCCCCGTAGAGGGCCCCAATTGGGGGGTTATTTTCGGTTGGGACCGAGAGTGTAGGCTTTGCGGTGGAGGACTCTTCGCATTTGAGCGAGTTGACCCAGACGAGCTTGTCGGCTGGCGAGTATGGTGGGATGGAGAGTCCTCTGAAGCTTCCGTTCCCATAGAATGGGGAGCTTTTCTAAAAGAAGAAGCTGGTTCTGGTGATAATGAAATCGGTTGATGTTCCCTCACCGTAATCAGGTCTCTATCCCTCCTTGAAGAGGTGGGACCATTCGTTTTAGCATTCTCGGTGCTTTTGCCATTCTTAGTCATGTTTCCGCTAAGAGTGATTGATTTTTGGCTTAATTTTTTGTATATTCCCCACAGACGGCGTCAAATTATTTCGAATGAAAACAATAGGACTTTCAGCAGTCCCTTTTCAAGGGAGAAGACTGTTCTCGGTCCAAGTGATGACTGGGTCGAGGATTTCCTGCACAACAAACACACGTAAACTAGCCTCGAGGATGGTTGCCGAGGAAGGCTCTTCCGATGCTAAAGTCAGTTCACTGTATTGAGAGTAAATGCTATGCAAGAGAATTAATTGCTTGAGACTGATTGTGAATGAATGTAAGATGATACAATTAATGGCTTTTATACCTTTACTCAAGGAGGAGGATTGGGCCATTGAAGTCAGATGGGTTTGCCATGCTGACTGGGTTTGATTGACTTTAGCATGCTTTGGAGAGTTGGACCTTGATGTGGGATTTTGTAATTAAATCATTTGGGCCGGCCCAATTAGGTAAATCGAATTGGACACAAACAGAAAGTATACATTGCCTTTCTTTATATACATTATAGTATGTGTAATTTAATTCATTTCCATTTATAGCTTACATTTTATTTATAATATGTTTAGATTGTTGGTTATGTGTGCTGAGTTTCATTTAGGTCTTACATTTATGTGTTGAGATGGATAGTGATAGAAGTTGGATGCATATTAAAGGTATACGTGGTAGGCAGAGAAAAGAATATAAAAAAGGTGTGAATGAGTTTCTTGAATTTGCTTTTAAAGATGTCAACCAAAACTCGGATACAAAGATTAGGTGCCCTTGTTCAGATTGGTTAAATAATTTTTTTTCAAGATCAACACACAATGAGGAGGCACCTTTTCCAATATGGAATTGACCGGGTAAAATCCTTGGACATACCATGGGGAAGGGAATTCTGAAATGGATGTTGATGCTAGTTTTGATGAAATGGGTCCTTTTTTTTCATTATTATTTGCAATTTTTATATGAATTATATGCATATACACCCATAATTAAGTATCTAATTGTATCACATTATTGTGTATTTTGATTCACGTAGACATACTCCTGATTGGGAAAAAACAATGACACAACCAGGTTTTTTTTTTTGTTTTTTTTTCCTCCTTTCTGTGATTCACCAAATTGGAAAAAATAATTGCATAATAAATGGTATTTTATTTCTTGTTGCAGACACTACCTAATCTCCAAGAACAAGAACAAGAACCCCACTAGAAGCATAAGCAACTTAACAGGTTAAATTAATTTGACTTTGGTTCTTTTATTTCTTCTCAAATATTAATCATGAACATGATATCCAGTTATATTGTGTATTTCATAGTCCTTTATTGTTATATGTAATACTTGATATCCAGTTAATGTGTATCATGAACCTGATACTCAATTGTTTTTGTTATTTTATTGTCATATATAGGAAAGTAAATATGCCCCCATCTTATCTTGGTTGATGGCAGCCGTTGGAGTTGATTTT